TGCATCGGATCGTCGGCTTTTGGATCGATGGATCGATACAAAACGATTATTATTTACACCCCTAGTCCCGTTCAAGTTGTCCAGGAAATCTAAGTGGCAGTCCGCCCATTGCTCCTCAGGAACCAACCAAACCAAGGACCTTTCCGCCCTCCAACGAGCCCCTCAATCTCTGGAAAAACCCACATTGACTGGATTCAGGGAAGAAACCTTTCTACGCAATCATGAGTCCCATTTATCTGAGTTTGCAAGTCGTCGTTCAAAGTTCCCACCGACCCTGAACTAACCTCTGTGAACTTCCCTTCTCACTTCCAGTTCCGGTTCACCAGCTCTCTGAGTTTCCCCGAATCCAACCCTTTGAACTCCTCAATAAACCTGTTTTTTGTACGTGGGTCAGATCTCTTAGAACATCATGACAATAACATCCATGAAACTAATCAAACCCATATGAAAATGAAACAGCTTCTTCTGCCTTTATATAACTGAATGCGTAAATGAATCAATATACTCTGGATCAATCTCACATGGTAAAATAAACTTCTTTAGGTTCTAATAATCAAACCAGAACATTATTTTCTGCTTAATGTTCCTTCTTCATGGCAATTATAGGTGTTTTCTTGCAGGATGAGTTTTGTTGTTGTGCCTCTTTGCTTATGATTCAACTCTACGCCTCATCAGCTGGCCAGCCTCCACTCAAAGCAACAGGTTTGTCCAAACCCTGGCTAAATAATTCAGTGACAGTGAGTGAATGAGATGATTCACAGTTCCTTAATGACGTCTGTTTCTTTCACCTCCATTAATAATTCATATTCCATTATTTCAATGCGCTTTGTTTTTATAAATGGAGGACATGTATATCAGTGTTTTGTAGTCTTTTAGCGACCATAAATGGAGGAAGGAAGCAAAAAGTATGAAAAGAGCTGTCTGGGAAGGCTGAATTCTGTCCCTGTTTTTCACTGGGAGTCCCATTTGCCTGATTGCATTTCCATTTTTCATTGTCTAGATGACATTTCCCACACTGTTGCTCTCTTGTCTATGATGTGTGCATTATTTATGGACCGCTGTTTGTCCAGTCATTTGAGATTTGCTCATTCTTCTCACCCAGTCACCAAAAAATTAGCATGTCAAAGTCAGACTCAGAGGAACGGGTCACTTGAATTAAATTAGAAACAACTGGCCCACAACAAGGTCACGTATTCAAAGATGAATTCATTTTTTGTCCTTGTTTATCTAAGATAATTTCATTACATCGGTTATGATGGATGAACAGCTTCAAGAGGGCGGCAGTGCTGTGTTTACCTGTCGCTCCACGGGCCGCTCCATTCCTTCTCTCCCCAGGGGTTCCTCATGCGAATCATGTGCAGCTTTTCCGATTTGAAGAAGGCCAAGAGTCCGTGACCAAGTCGCACCTTCCGAACGTCTGTCACGGCGTAGGCGTGGCCTTTGACCAAACCGCAGTCCAGCCGGGCTTCCATGTCCTCCACCGTTGTCGCCTAAATAAACAACGGAAAGGTGTAAGCCCTTTAAAATGAGAGACATCTGTCATTTTCATCATAGATACATTTAAAAAATGAGAGACATAAAAAAAAAAACAAAAAAAAAAGAAGGAAAATCTATTGTAGGATTTTTAAAGAGTTTGTAAATTATGGTGGTAAATAGTGGTTTAAATAAGCTAACACCACTAACAATGGTAACTGAAGATAGGAAAGCAATACTACTTAAAACCAATAGTACAACTGTAACCCGTGGCTTGCTCAGATTAGATTAAAAATTACATTGTTTCATCTAACAAAAATAGTTTTAACCAACTAGATTGGTTGTTTTTCCAACCAATCTATTCTTAGAATCTATCCAAACTTTATCCAACTGACAGAAACTGTCCTACAAACT